GAAGCTATGGTACTGTGATCTGGATACATAGATGCGAACGTTATTGTTCTTCCTCTAGTTTTCTCAATAGGATTTTGTTCTATCGCTCTCTGATTTTGCATCCTCATTTGATTTTCCAGCACGTCTTTTACCTGGATCTTGTTAAATATAAGGTCTATTAATTGGGAAATGGAGAATAGATACCTTTTGGGAGAAACGTTCCAGAGGATAGTGCTCGGCCATAGGTCGTTCCACTGGATTTTCTATGTTTTTTCGCCTGGCTCTATCCCACTAGCAAACATCTTATTTTTAAATCGTCTAAAATAACTTCTGATAGATTTCCCTTCTTTCTGCCTGATGCTACTTTAGTTCAAAACTCTTATATGACTCTGAGAATCGATTGTTGATGAGGAAACTAACTATTGGTCAAATCTACGGGTAAGTGATACATCACATTCTCCATTGTAGATTGGCTCTCTGGCCTTTTGGGTGAATGACTATCATCGAAATTATTATATTCTCATCCTCCGGTTCTTCCACTGGTTAAGACTCCAGTCGTGAGAGCTTTCTTGGTTCATTGCTATGTTCCATGAGGATTTACTATTCTACTTTTCTTTTTCTTTTTTTCTTTTTTTCATTTCCCTGAATGAGCTTGTGAAGCTTACAATTGATGATTGCTTTTGAGGGGAAATATAGTATCATGAGCTAAATTTCCTCTATTTTCCTTTTATTATTAGTTCATTTTTCGCTTATCAGATTTTGCGCGTAGATGCGCATATTCCGCCTCCGTTTTTAGTTTTTCTGCCATTTCACGGACTACCTCTACAGTGGGCACCCATTTCCTTTAATGACGGCGTTCGAAGGGGAAAACTTTGGCTAGGGATCTTGTTAGCATTTCCTCTACTTTTTCGTTAGATTTATGTAACTTTTGACAGAATCGTTGCTAAATTCCTCTGTTCCATCTTTTAGTGCTTTGAGCATACTTGGATCTGCTTCTATTCTATTTATTCTTCCTAATCCTTACAACTTCTAAACTTTAGTGGGCAGATTTGTAGGTTGCTTGTTTTCCCACAGATGACACCATTTGTTAAGGTAAAAATCGGATCAAGCGATTTTATTGATAAAACAATTACAATCGAAAATCAAATATAAATACAATCAACAAATCCTCTCACTTAACTATGAGTTTCACATCCTAAATTCACGGGTCTAGATGCTTCAACTAGAATAAGAGGAGAAATAGTTATTTGAGATGGAGATATTTGAATTGTATGCCTTCTTCTTCGGTCATAGGGGGGTATTTATACATTTTCCTCCTAGTGTTGAGGTAGTTTGGTCATTTCTGCATTACACCAAGTGGTGACTTGTTATTGGTTGCTTCTTAACTAATTTAGTTAAGAGTAACGCTTTACTAATCTGCTTATGTGACCCTTATTGACAGAATGTAGTCAGCCTGTAATTGACGAACAGTTTATGATCTTTACGTGAGCCATGTATTTCTTAGTTTCACTCGCATATTGCATTTCACCTTTTCAATGAATTTCTGGGTTCACAGGTTTTTATTCCAGGTGTTAACATTACCTAACATATTTTTCCTGCTACATCATTTCAAACAACCTAATGCTCTAATGCCACTTTTTCGAAATTGAGACTAAGGGTGTGTTTGAGCCACATTATTTTGGAAGAATGTATTTTGGAATAGTAGATTGATGGAGAATATGTGGTTGAAAAAGAAAGAAAAATTATTAATGTGATGAAAAATATTGAATAGTAGATTGATGAAAAATGTGTGGTTGAAAAATAAGGAAAAAGTTATTGATGTGATGGAAAATATTATTTTATTGAAGAATGTGTGGTTGAAAATAAGTAGAAAAATGAGAATGAAAATTTTAATGTAACCCAAACAGGAGCTAATTCTCTAATTTTTCTTATGTGATCGTTGTTCGAAAAAAATCATTAATGAGATAATAAAAAATATAAAAAGGGAAAATATTATACAGATCATCTAAAAAAAATTGTATAATCATATAAAATTTATCACCAACCCAAATCCAACGTATCACAGGAAAAATAAACTTACTTTACCATATCTCCAATTTTCTACTCTTAATGCTGACCACAAAGAGAACAAGTAAATTTCACAGATACTAGACTCACTATTTTTCCTTTCAAGAAACACCCATCACGTACACAAAAGAAAACATGACACGTACAAAACATTGTTGGATTTGATCTAAATTTTCCACCAAATTGTCTTCCCAATATTAACAATATTTGGGATTTTTTTTCTTTTTACATTTTGGCTCTTTGTTAGGCAACACAACAAAATTACAATCATGCAATATGTACATCATGTTTTACATCAAGTTTCACATTATGTTAGTTGACAATTTTTTATATATTGATTTTAACAACACTTTTTCCAATCAATAGCAAAATTTCTTACACATAAGGGAATGTCATAGATGATGTCAACCGCAAGTGTATAAGAAGCACAATTCACAAAATTAATCTGCCCAACTACTGTTTTAGGTCAAATATATTTTTTATTTTGGAAGTTCAACATTAGAAAATTTATTTAACTAAATCTCTATCATCGCGATCAATATAATGATACAAAGTTAGAAACAGTGAATTTGACTCACATGTCACTAACTTTTGCCTTCAGTGTGCAAATTGTCTCTAACTTTTGTTTCATGGCATAGTCATCCCTAATTTATGTATTTAATGTGCAATTGGTCCCTTTATAATAGAGTAGACCAGTATGCACATAGTTTTAGTTAGGGGAAATTGCAGTTAGGTCCCTAATATTTGTAAATGTACAAATGGATCCCCAATATTTATTTTTAATTTAGAATATTAAATATTATAGTAATCGTACTGATTAAATTTGTCAGAAGGGAGAAAAATTTTATAATTGCTTTGTGATGCGAAAAATTATAAAAATTTGAATAAAACTAAGAAAATGAATAGTTAACAAAATGATGTATATAATTTTATAACATCAACCAATCTTATTAAATTTTTGATTTAGCATAAAAAAATATTTATAAAAAATTAATTTAATTATATGTTCTTGATTTTTCTTTTCAAATAATAACAAAATGATAAATAAAATAAGAAAAATACAGTTAAAGTTTTGATATTTATAGTTAATAAATGAATAGCTCAACTAAATAAAAATATTTGAGGATCAAGTTTACGACACAAGGTAAAAGAGTGAGTTATGAGTTACTGTTCACAAGTCGAATTTGTGGTCAGCTCAGACATTTTGGATTGAGCCGCTTGGACTGTGTTTTCAAACAACATGCTTCATCTAAAAGATTAGGATTTGTTCTCTTTGTCGTTTTCAGGCCATTTTCAGTTTTCGAAAATATTGAACACACTTTTACTTATCTATTTTCAGAAACGGATTTTCAAAAACGAGTTTAAGATTTACAAAGAAAACGAAAAGGGTAATGCTACATGTACACACACACTTTTACACAATCTTTTACACCTCTCACATGAAGGGGGGTCCACGATTATTTTAATATGTATGGGCCCCCCTCCATGTGAGGTGGGTGTAAAAAATTGTGTAAAAGATTGTGTACACTTAGCATTATTCAAACGGAAATTGCCAAAAAAGTTATTTTGACTGTTTTCAGTTAAAACCAAGCCAAAATTTCAAAACGTGGAAACGGTCAGATTTTGCCAATAGCTGAATATCTTAGTTGTGAGAGTCACGAATTTTTTGAAGGTCACGAGTTTGATTCCGTTTCACCGCAATTCAATACAAAGAAATTTTCTTTTTATATACACAGTACAAATTTTTTTCAAATAAATTGGTAGGTGGCAGATATTTGAACCCAGGTCACCAACATCAACATGGAATTTTAATGCCTTAACACAATGACAATTGCTTTTGCTTTGTTATATAAGTAAAAGAACTATATATATTGAATAATCAGTTTTTCAAAATTACAAAGTAAAAACGTTTTTCATTTTTTTATTTTTGAAAACAATTTTTCAAAATGACAAAAAGAACGCATTTTCAGCAATCTCAAAATGTACACTTAAAACACAAAATTCAAAACTAAAACCTGAAAACTGGAATACGAAGAAACCCCTTATTGATTCCTAAACAATAATATTTGAGAGTTTTAAGTTTCTTCAAATTAACCTACTTTCCCTAATTTTTATACTTTCATTTTTCACATTTCATTACGAACACTTTTATATTTTCATTTTTCACTTATAATTATGAACAATTTAGAAAGATTTTTCATACGTTTTCCATAATACATGGATGTAACGATGTGAATTACAATCATTGAGCCTGTACGCACTTGAGGAATTTGGGTTTGATATTATAGAGCTACCAGGCAAATAGCACTCAAATTAAGAGCATCACGTGAGCATTAAGTCCCTTTTTGTCTCTCATTCTTTCCAAAAAAAAAAAAATTCTATATATTCATTTTCAACCACATATTCACAGAATAAATTATTTTTCACGTGAACCCAAAACTTTTTCCTACTTTTTAACCCTACATTCTACAAAAATTCACTATTCAAAACAATGTTTTTCTTGAAAAAAAAAAAAAGGCCACCAAACAAGCGCTAAGAGTCAAAATCCACTCGAGGATCCTATTGAAGAGCGCTTAAACTTACGTGCACTAAATATTAAGTACAACTCATGGACAAACCCTAGTACTAGTAATCTAGCAAGGAAAGACCGCGAAATTTGTATAATGTCATTTCTAACTTCGAAGTACTCTAGAGAGCTTAAACTTACGTGCACTAAATGGTAAGTACAACTCATGAGCAAACCCTAGTACTAGTAATCTAGCAAGGAAAGACCGCGAAATTTGTATAATGTCATTTCTAAGTACTCTAGAGAACTGTGAAAATCGTTTTTGAAGAGCTGGTACATACAAGTGTTAATGCAATAGTGTATCAAGACAAACACACTTGAGTGATCTACCATTCTTCTATGCTGTACAAGGCCTCTTTCACAACGAAATGATTACTTTTCACGAAGCCTAAGGGGCGAGTAGATTAGAATCCTCCACTGAAGAATCTTCATCCTCAGCTATCATCCACGGTTGTTTTGGACCCTAATTAAGGAGAAAATGGGAAAAAGAGAAAAGTCACATAAGGATACCTTTATAACCGAAATTTACTTTTCAACTGGCAACATTAAGATATAATTCATTCAAGCATTGCATGTGAAAAAGAAACAACTTATTTAGACACAATTGAAAACTAGATAAATCTCACTTACTAATCAGATATATACATAATTCATTGAAGACGAGATAATAATCTCATCTTGTGATTTTAACATAATTAATTTGACTAGCATAAATGTTACCTAACATAAAGAGATGTCAAAGGAGTTTGTTACTTCCCAAACAAATCCTCCGACATCTATATATAAACGTTGGTTTATCAAGAATGAACAAGAAAAACAATTCAAATTGTTGATTAATCGTCAGATATGGTTTGGAACCAATAGTTCATTATCCAATGGATCTTTCCATTTTAATACTCTATCCAAGAGTGCCAAGAATGGCTTTTGTTGATAGAGAGATTCTCTTTTATTTTATAGGAAGCAGAATAAGCATAGTTAGCAAGATCCACTGCTATTTCAGCTGCCGTTGAAGGAAGAATCGATGGGATTGCTCGGGGAGTGAATGGGATTAGATATCCCAGTAGTCCTAGTCGTAAACGATGGATACTAGGCGCTGCGCGTATCCACCCGTGCAGTGCTAAGTCCTCAACCCTGAAACCATTTTCCTTTTATTCCATAGGGTACTCATGTTTTTCTAGCTCATATAAAGGACACACTGTTACAATAATATCCAGCCTCTACTTCCTCGAGTTCTAGATACTTTCTGACAATTTTGTATTTTACCTTTCCTTGTCGTACAATTCGAGGAGAATTTCCAGTCATATCCACTACTGTCGATGGATCAGCCACTCTAATACCAGCATCGACAACAAAGTCAAGGCCCTAGAAAAACAGAGCAACTCATGAGCACCATTATATGACAAAAAGAACCAGATAAGAGCTTTGATTCAGCCACCTACGGCACTTTCTAATACTGTGGAAATGCAGGAGCTCAAGGACGACTGGGAAGAAATAGTTAAGCGGTTGGATTTGGACACTTGCAGAGCAATTTGTAATCTTGTGGAATAACAGGAGTTGAAAAAGTCCAAATGCAGTTAAAGAACTTCACAAGTACAATGAAAAAAGCAACTTTCACTTGGCATATTGAGTATCCCCTCATGCGCAAATCAGAAAATTTCATGGTATGCAACCTTATAGGTCTGATTTAAGTCTTAAACTTCTACAAGTTGCTAGAATTACCAACAAGAATATATCTTAAAAACAGAAGGAAGACGTCATATAAAATAGAAAATGGACAAGCACCATGCATACAGATCGACTCATTTGAGGTTGCTGGAAACAGAGAAACAATATATAAATAGCTACCTTTAACACATTCAGTCCAACTATTTCCAAATGCAACAGAGTGAACAAAGAAAGGTAGGTAAAATTTACAGATCCAGTGAAGTGTTATAAAAAATAGCAATACCTCAGGGCCATATACATCAGCAATCACAACAGGATCTAAAATCCATTCATTCTCCTTGGGTGACTTGACACTGAGGCACAATTTATACATAGTGTAAGCATAATCATAAATGTTAAAAAAGTGAAACTGTGTGAAGTATCTGGCTTTACAGCCTACCTAGTGGATATTAAAGGTGCTTCCATCTTCTGCAGAATTGCTTGACACACAGCATCATCAGGTATACGAACGCCTACATTTTTTCTTGGTGCATACTTGGAAGTTGTAGTCCCATATCTGATACATTGTTTTGGCAGCTCTTTGCTTGCAGTCAAAATGAAAGTGTACTGCATAAACCAACTTCATTTAGATATATTAAAAACATATCAACAATATTGTGGAGCAATACTAGGATGATATGATAGGCAGAAATGAGGCCCAAAACACATCTTTTGTCCCGAAATTTTTGGACTTACAGGACCAGGCAGGCAATGTTTAACAGCTCGAAAAATGTTTGAAAGACCTGAACTGTTGCCACGAGGAAATCCGGTTGTGTATGTATCAATATCCTTGAAAGAGTGGCATAAGATGCTGAGAGGCTGCAAAATTTACAAAAAAAAATGCATCAGAATAAATGTAACAATAACAACATTAAACAATGTTTGTCAGCAAAAAGCAAACGAGAAACGAAATGCACAGATCGTCTACTCAAAAAGGAAAAAAGAAATATCAAACCAATACTTCATTCAGCGACTTGTTCGGTGCCGTGCAGCATGTTTAGTTAGTTTAGGAACCAGATGGAAATAATTAAACCTGCCTTTGAAGGGTCTATATTCTTTATTCTGCAAAGTACAGAGAACAATTATCATCATAAAGAAACTAAAAGCAACACCTTAAAAATCAAGAACTTGAGCTGGAAAAAAAATTATCTACCTACGCAAACGATCAATAGCTGAGGGGCTTCTCAGATCACAAACTATTGCGTACCTATAATCAGAGTAAAAAGGTGAACAGTTATCCAACAAGAATTTCTATTTTTAGGTACATAAGAACCAAACAGGTCTGCGAATGACATGCTTACTTGTATGTACAACATAAATAGCTGAATCAAGCAAGTCTACAAAGATGTATTAAACACAAAAGGATTCAAACTTTCTGTAAACTCCTAATGATCCAAGTTGCAAATCCTAGTATAATATGAACCTAGAATATTAGTAGGTTTCATCAATTTCCACTTCTAGTTTCATATCATGAATTCAGAACTGTTGAGTATTCAAAAAATTCTTTTGGCTATTTCAATGTTTTGAAATCTAATAGCAGGCATAGAGAAAGGCCAAGGGGAAAAGGTTGAGGTACAAGATTAAGAGGTCTCAAATTTATCCACCCTTATATTTTCCCCATTCTCATATGGATTTATTGTTCCAAATTATGTTGATATGCACCATAATTTTGTAATGACAACGAAAACTAAGCTGAAACAACCATCTTTCCAATAAATTTGAAGTCAGCTACATGAATCATTCTCTTGATTAATCATGATATATATATATATAAACTACCACCATAAGAGAAAAATCAGAAAAGTCAGTAAAAGCAACTCAATTGGTTTTTCATGCACGCTGCTCTCAGTAAATTTAAAAACAACCGAAAAGTATGATCACATTTGACCAGCAACCCGATCAAAAGTTCAAATGCCGCAAACGAAAAAAAAGAAGGAACGAAATGTAACATACACGGTGTCAGTAGGAATAACTCCAACAGCTCCTTTCTTCAAAAGCTCAACAATCGGTTCCAATTTCCATGCGTCGGAACCAAAAGGATCAACATCAACATAAAGCAAGCCATCATCCTGTGAAAAGAAAAAAAATTAAAAAATCTCCATATTCACCTCTTGTATGTGTTGAAGGGATCAATTTAAATGAGTTCATAACCCTCTCTAACATCTTAAAATTTTAGACGGTATTATTAAATACTGTATCCAAAATTGTGCAGGAGAAACGAATTTGATCTTCGTCTGTGTTTGTATAGAAACAGAAAGGACCTTGGTGAAGCGAGGGGCGGAGTATTTTAGTCGTTTGGGGCTCCTCTTGACAACAGCTAGAGTAAAGAATCGACGGGCAAGCTGAGGAGGAGGTTGCATATTCTGGAAAGAGACGCCGCATGGGAACGGATTCAATGACCGCTGGAATGATAAAGGCAGTACGGCTGAGCCACCACAACGTTTCACCTCCACCGCCATTCTTCGAAACTGGTGAAATTTTCTGTATTAGGAATTGGGAAAAATAGTAAATTTAGTCCTAGATCTTTAGTGATTTTATCAAACCCATCACCGACTTCTGTATTACGGTCCCACTAAGAGCATCATATGGAGACTCTATTTTAAAAAAAAACATATTTTATAATTTAGAATATATCTATTAGTTAGTGTTCTAAAAATCGTAAAAAGTGACTAGGTGTGGAGGCGAAACTTCAAGTATTACAAACTTAAACGAGCCTATGTGAAGTTTAGGCATAAAATAATACATATCAATCATCTAAAAATATAAAATATTATATTATTTAATAATTTCTATAATTAGTCAATTATACAATTTTCAAATTCTTTAAATGCAAAAATTAGACTATTTTTTATAATTTCAATTTTCAACTACACTAGTCCCACTTAAGAGATTTATAGGAAGTTTATTCATCCTTTCGGAGTTTTCAACAAAATAATGAGTCTCAAAATTATAATTACATAACGTAAATTAAACTGTATCTTAAATCTTATTTAACTCTTTATTAAATAAAGTCATTTTTGACTTTTGTACTTATAAAGTCTTTTAAAAGTTTGAAATTAAAGTTACATAAAAGGTTTTTTAAAAAATAAAAAAAAATTAATAAACTAAAGTCAAATAAAAGAATTTTAAAAAAATATACAAGAAATTAATAAAAGACGCCTAGAGAAGACGAAAGAGTAGAATGCAAAATATACAGCCGATTAGGAATTGAAAAAAAAAAATCCTTTGTAAGTTATTTCCTTCAATTGCACCAAGATCCGGGCTAAGTTAACTAATCAAACGACCACCACTTTAATCTCCAAACCGAACACCTTTCCCAAACACCGGTTGCTCCAATGAATTCAGCCCACAAAGGACTAGGGATGAAAGATTACAACCTTATAAAACAGCCACAAAGGCTAGGCAGAGAAGAGGAAGAAACGGGTCCTCGAAGGGAAGAGCACATAGCCAATTTTTTCACCCAAGCAAGACAAGAACCGTTTTTCTCTCTACTCAAAAAGGGGCGACTACTTAATAATCTTTCACACACAAAATAGTAGTGGGCAGCCAAGATAAATAGGTTAGGAATGAGTTAGGCTTTTAGGTGAAGTAATAGGCCCAATAAGAAAAAGGGTAGGTGGGCTAACACCTTAAAGTCATCCAAGTGTTTTGGTTGGGCCATAAGCAACTCTAATTAATTAGGCTGCTTCAAATGACCCAAGTAGATTACGTGATTCAATTGGTTCAATTGTGGTGTCGACATATCACTTCACTCATTGGTCGAGGCCTATGAAGTATAATCCAACTAAAAAATCGAATAACATCATTGCCCAGATTTATTGGGTATCAAAACCCAACAACCTTAAATATGAAGCGAGGTGTTTTACCCGAGTTTTAAGTCTAGGTGGTATGCTTAAGCGAACTTTTTAAAACATTGATATCTATAAATTTAATGCTTAAAAAGCTTAAATATTTCAATAGGCTTTCTATTTTTCACACTTAGTTTTACTAATAATAAAAAATATTTATTATCTTTTTATCTTTTATTTTCAATAGTTTCTCTCCAAATTATTATATTATTTTTCTCCATTGAAATTGAAATATTACAACCTTACTTTCTATTTTAAAATATTAATTTCAAGAGTCTCTTGTAGTATAGTTTTAAAAATTGACTTTTTGAAATAGAGAGTATCTTATATTTAAAGTACTTGGATATACTTTTAGATGTTATAGCAAAGTCGTTGTTTTCATATTGTGAATTTTAACCCATGTTTGGCCCCCATTGAATTAAAATTTATTGTTTTTCTCTCTACTCATCAACCACACATTTTTCAATAAAATATTAAACATAAACTTAAAAAAAATTTCTTCTTTTTCAACTACACATTCCCCTAAAAATTACTATTCTCCTTATTAAAATGTGAAATAATGGAGCCCAGACAAAGGCTTATTGTTGAACCATAATATGACTCTCACATTTCAAGTTAATCCACAAGTAAAATAGTTTTAGCTTTGTTATCCTTGTTACGCACCTACCTCACTTGAAGCCCTTAACTTCACAACTGAAGCCACGTGTCGAAATGACATTTGGAAAAAGTGATAACGTACCATCCAGAAATCCACGTGTCACACCATGTAGATGAGATAAACACCTCACCCTATTAGCTCATAACCCACTTAAAGCCAAACACATGTTGGTCGAGTTGAGAAAGTACAAGCAACTACCCGGCAGTGTGATTGAAGGTGAAGTCCGACTCATATAAAGATTCTACCCATATAAAGCATGTGTCAATCCATCCAGGGTCGGTCCTATGATTTTCGGGGCCCGAGGTGAACTCGAAAAATTGGGCCTCCTAGAATCAACTTAAATACAAAATCTAACAGTGTATTATACAACGTATTGCTAACTTAAAACTGAACAGTAGAAAAGCAACCATCTTCTTGCTTATCACCCACTTCATTAACACAGACATGTTTCATCATTTCTTCTTCCTTATCACCTACTTCATTAACACAATCAGGTTTCATCACCTCTTCGTCTTTATCATCTACTTCATTAACACGGGCAGGTAAAATCACTACCTAATCCTTATTCAACTCATTCATAGTGTTGCTTTTAAAGTACTTGTCTATATCGCATGCTTGACTTTGAGGCAACAAAATTTCATTTCGTTTCCTTTTTCTCTTTAGAGCCCCAGACTCATATTTATGAGGCATTGTGTACGAGTTTATATCTAATACCCAACAATAACCATTCATATAAGCCAACCACGCCACAATTATATAAGCTGACAAGGCTTCAAACATTTTCAATAAATTCAATATCATTAAGAATCCAAATTCACATTGAAATCTTGAAGTAGATCAAAATATATCTCAAGTAAATTTACTGTCTATAAACAATAGAAAATGTAAAGCGGAATTTCATAGCCAACTGGAAGTTTGAAGATACTTCTTTATAGTCAACTCTTTTTAGGTGAAAACTGAAAACATTGCCAAAAAGCACTAATCAGTATAAACAAAGTCAATTTCTAAACAAAATCCATCAAGCTTCGAATCTGAAATCACTGTATGAAAAGGAAATTGAACAAAAAAAAATGTTATAAATAAAATTACCATCTTAGAGAGTCAGAAATCAGAATCGGTTCGAACTTCGACGTGCTTAGAAATTGAATCAGTCAACGATCAACCTCGAAGAGCGAACGGACGGTGCGAACCGTGCGGTTAGGGTTCTGAAAGAGTGAAGCCTTCGAAGTTCGAATGAGGAAAAGGAAATGAGGAAAACAAATGGAACGAAAGTGGAGTGACAAGACTGGAAACGAGAGATGGCGTCAGCGGGTGGTTGTGGACCAGGGGGTAGTATTGTAGAAAGGGAAGGAGATACTGAGCCAGTGAGCCATTCGTAATTCGTTTACTATTTTTTTAAATATTAATTGGGCCAAAATTGAGGCCCTCCGATTTTGGGCTAGACCCCGAAAGAAAAAAACTGGGAAAAAATGATGGGCTCCCTCCAGTTTTGGGCCGGGGCGCGTGCCTCATCTGCCTCGCCTCAGGACCGACTCTGAATCCATCCAGTCATGCAACCACTTGTCAAATTGTGTTTAAAAGGAAATGCAAATGAAAATGTACACAACATAGGATAGAGCAATTCGACATCTCCTGTAATTGTCACTTTTGGAAAGAAGACAGAAGGTAAGGGTGGCATTGGATCGGTCCTTTGATTTATGGGTTGTTGGATATTGTTCAAATTAACAATGATGAGTAATTTTGGAAGTAATGGAAGTAATTAATCATGAGAAAAACAAGCGAAAACAAAAAGAGAAAAAAAAAGGTGAAGGCCGAATAATGGAATGGGCAATTAAGTCCAAATATATAATTGGCAATTTTTCTAGTCAAAATCAAGTCCTAGTTGAATTGTATACGGAGTTTATCGAGTTGTAATCAAAATCAAAATAGGAGTTATTAAATCCTAATTAAAGTCCAAAAAGTTGGATTTAGGAGTATAGTCCTTGAAGGAGTCCGATGTCCCAGAAGATCATATATGATCAAGATAATGCAATTACAAGTTTAAAGAGTATCAAAGGGCCGTACAAATTATGTTCCAAATCTCAGTTGCAGTTTATAATGCATTGATCACATAGAAAACATTGAAATTTGGACAAAGCTATTTATATAAGAATTATAGCCCTTTCAGTTATCTTTCTAACACATTTTGAATCACCTCACTCGGATATCAAAAGAGAAAGTTATGATAAATATACTGACGACTGCTCAGCTACTGCTTTATACCCGTTAAGGTTTTGAATTCTGGTGTCTTTTCATCAAACTTTACACCTTTTGGCTTGTTTGGAACCTTTTCGTGCATGATGGTCAATGTTCTAAAAAGAGGGATAGTTTTCATGTTGAAAAACATTTCACAAACATTAAATTGATATATCTATATCTAAATCAAAAGATCAAATAAAGTTTTATAGATTTGTTCTAAAAGTTCATTTCCTAGTTTGGTTTTGCTTGATTCTAACTTGGATTAAGTTTTATTTATTTGTGAAAACTATTTGCTATTGAAACTTTCAAGCACTTATCCTAGTAGCAGTAAATATTATTTGAGAAGAACAATTCATAATTGTGTTGAAACATTCCATTTTTACGAAATTCTTGTTGCTATTTTTTCTTGTTCTTCATCAACTTTTCTCAAAAATTTCAAATGATAGTTTTAACATGGAGAAGGAGACTACCATGGTTACGATAAAGGCGATGAACCAAGACCTTGTGAGACATGACAGATTTAATAGGTCAAACGTTAGAAGATAGAAGGACAATTTGAATTTTTTTCTCACGACCTTGACCATCTTCTACATCTTGGATCCGGACTTAGCACCAATGTTGGAACCAACCTCGAATGACACATACGAAACAGTAGCAGAACAAAAGAAGAGAGAAGAAAATGAATTGACATTTAGAGGACACATTCTGAATGCTC